GCTCGGTTGTCGCTCGGTTGTCGCTCGGTTGTCGCTCGGTTGTCGGCCGCTTATTTATCTATTCCGATAGGCGTCCCAGTTTCGCGGCTCGATATTTCGTCGGCTGAGCCCGGCCGATAACGTTTCGACGATCATTCGGAACCGTTTGTTCGTTACCTCTGGGAACGCTCCCCCGTTTCGTGCAATCGGCGCGATTATTGCCGCAACGCCGGTGTGACCTCGTGTAAATCCACTGATTCCGCGATCCAGTCGGGAAATTCGATTACGGCGCAAGGAACGAATATCGACGGCCCGGCCGGTTCCGATTCGTGTGTTCCTCGTTCGCTTCGGAGAAGAGAGAGAGAGAGAGAGAGAGAGAGAGAGGGGATAGACTTTTGTTACAGGACTTCAAAATATTTATTATTTCGTCGTAGTTACATGCGCTTACATTTACGGAGTGCCGGTGGTTACGCGTGCTAATGCGATCGAATAGATCATTACCGAGCGTTAATTGCATCGTGGGGGAATGTCAGCCGCAAAACCGCGGGGAACGCGCGCAAATACGAAGCGGCTGGATTCCTTTCGCGATCGATCGATATTCCCTGCTCCTATTCCTGGCTCGGCTCACGGTTCCCTCCTGGAAAATAATACGAGCCTGGAGAATCGTGATCGGCGTTGGCGCGTTCGTTCGATCGCCGACGACCGACGAGCGTTCGGGGACCGAATCACCGATACGTCGAACGGCGCACAGCGATCATCGCGCCTTTCGTTCGCGATCGGCGGGTTCGAGCGAGTCGCGGATATGCTCTCGGCCGCGTGGCACTCGACGCGTAGAAAATACAAGGCTCGTGATATCGGTGACGATATGTTGAAGCGGCGACGATCAGAAATTTCGTGCTCTCGTTGCGCGGTGTAACCGATCGTTCGAGATGGCAGGCGAACCTCGAATAAATCGCAACTACCCTAAGGTTGTTCCTTCGTCCGGGATGAAATTCGTCTTCTCCGATCCTCCAGCGAAACGCTCGAAAGCCCGCGCTTCGTAGGATACCCTCCTTCTTCCGCGCGTGCAGACGTTTCCCTCTCCATCCGTAGCGACGCGTTTTCCTCTTGCCGGTTATATCGCGTCCTTCGAATCGGCCACCGCGCTTCGCCAGACGATACTCGAGTCGAGTGCACCGCTCTGGGAACGCGAGGAACGCGGAGAACGTTGGAGATCGAGAGACGATTGCGGCAGTTCGAATCGATTCGCCAGCGTGAATTCGGCCGTGTCGTTGTCGGGCCCGCGGGGGATTCGGAGGTTTCACGGGAAATCCTTGGATATGGTGGTTTCGTTCGTCTGACAGCGGCGCTTCGGCTCGCGCCTCGGCTCGGCTCGATCTAGACCGGGTCCGGGGCAGGTGCCAGCAGCTGCATGCTGCTGCTCGACCGCGCGATCTGAAAAACCAAGCGTTTCCTTCGAGTGTCGGTCGCGTTCCTTTTTCGTTCGAGCGGCTCGAACAGGGATTACAAAGGGGCGAATCGCAAAGGTAAATTGCAAAGGTTCCTCTCGTCGCCATCCAAGCGGAACAACCGGCAATTCCGGAGGGAGTTAGATTCGGTCGCCTACGCGCTCGGAAGATTTACCTGCTGCTTCGGCTGCCTGTAAGATTTCCTGGCGTAGACCTTCAGGACCCTGCAGTTGCACGCGACGGACAGCGCCACGGCCAGGCCCTGCTCCGGCCAGACATGAAACAGATCGAACGAAATCAGCGCGCTCGCCGACGGGTTCCGGGCGCATTCGCCGCGCGATTCGGTCTCGCCTCAATTTCCGAGCCGAACACGCGTCGTTCCCACCCGGACGAACGCGACTCTCGATAACGGGGCCGACACGCTCGCAATTACCGCGGAAGGGTTGATACGCGTTTTCCAGCGGACACCAGCGGCCTCTCGAATATAACGAACACGGGTTTCATGCTCGCGCAACGATACGATCGCTGCCGCTTTTTCTGCAACGATAAAACGGCCGAGCCATTTCTCTTCGCCGCTATCTGCCCCCGTCCATTCGAACGCTGTCGTTCGTTGGTTTCGCGACTTTTCATACGGCTCCCGATGGGGAACTCGACTCTCCTAATGTCGAGTCTCCTAAAATATTCCTGCGATTCGAAGGTTCTTTGAATCTCACCTGCAGAGAATGCCCTGTGCAGAAGACGGCCCACAGGAAGGGGACTTTCCATACCCTGGACGCGACTCCGCAGCCAGCCACCAGACCCACTATCATGCTGACTTTCAGAAACAATATCAGCTGTAGCGCTCTCCTTCTCTTCATTTTCTCGCGTTGCTTGATCTCCAGCTGCATGCTACAGGTGTACCTGAGCGAAACGATACCACGATTTCCGTCGTTTCTTTCTCAACTTATCCTTCTTTCCCGCTCCCGAAACGGTAGGAGCGAAAGTCGATTAACGAGCTAACGAGAGATACCTGGACACGATGGCAGCTTTGATCAGATAGTAGCCGGCGGACAGCAGCAGCAACACCATCGGCAACCCGTACGCGTAAATCGTCGCCTTCTTCCCTAGAAACCTGCAACCACGAACAACGTCGAAATTAGCAAGTTTTATAGACGAGGGAAACGAGGACGCGAGATAAAAGGACGAGCCTCGAAAAATATTGCCTCCGGAGCAGCTGCGAGATAATCTCGTCCGTATTCTCCGTAACGTCTTATCCGCGTCATCCGCTCTTTCGAGGAATCGACGTTCGTGTCGGGCAGGGAAAACGGGAAGGAACGCGAAGAATTCGAATTCGGCGTTTAGAGAGAGACACAGAGAGAGAGAGAGAGTTACCAGCAGTTGAAGGGCGTCAAGTCCGAGACGTTCCAGATGTCGGCCGCCTCGCGGATCTGCAGGAAGACCGAGAGGCCGAGGTTCAGGAACGGCGCTCCCCAGGCGAACAGGCTGTACTTGAGGTAGGTCGGGGGATCGTCGCGGCGCGGGATCGACGCCACGGTGGCGTACAGGTGATGGCACATCGCAGCCAGCCAGCAAACCACCGTCATGCGAAGGTACTGCAGGCTCAGCCCGAGGGAAATGCACAGCTCCGAGTCCTTATATATAAAATAATATTCCATTTTCTCTCCTGTTCTTTTACGTCCGCCTCGAGGCGTGCCTTCGTTGCGGTTAACTGAGCGGCACGTATCGCGCGTTCCGAGCATCTAATCGTGCCCTATCGATCGAGCATTCGGAACTAGGAAGTGTCTCGCTGGAAACGGGGAAACCCGAGTCCGCCTCTAATTAAACCGGGATCGGTCGGTAGTCAACGTTCGCCGCTTGTCCGCGCGATATCGCTTCCCGAGCGCGGCGGTTCTATCGCGGGCATCTTGCAATGCAACGCGTCGCCTTCTTTTCTACGCTCGAAGGACCGTCGTCCATATTCCCGTAGCTCCGCGTTGCCGACTTATTTCCAGCGTCGCGTCCCAGCAATGAAATTCCAGAGCGATCGGCATTCCAGATGCTCGGTTGCCGAGTCGCGACGCCTCCGAAGTCGCTCGAGGAATGCCTCATCGGTGATTTTTAATCGAACGCCTTCCTCCGTCTCGGCTGGAGGCGCGCGAGCATCGTTCGCGCTACGCGTTTATCGGCGGCTAAACGGTCCTTCGAGGTCCACGAGCCTGATCGTTGCTCGAGGACGGCTAGGTTTCTCTGTTTCGTCGACTGGACACGCACCGGGTTCGCGCAGGTTCGGTTTCCGCCATGGGCACGGTTTAAACGAGTTTGTTAAAGTCCCTCGGTCCCATCGCGCTCCTCCGCCTTTCCGGGTTCCCCGATCGCAAATGAAATTCGCCGAGGACTGTAAATCACGGACGGGCGAGATACGGAGTCGATCGATCGCGACGCGAGCCGTTCATTCTTCGACCGTTCGACGGCCGATGGTAGTTGTCGGCGTGCTCGATTACCGGCGCTCGTTATTCATCGTTATCCATTATCGGTCCCCGCTCGATACCGTGCTGCGAGCAGCGTCGGCGAGACTCGATAAGGCCGCGGCTACGAGTCGACATACCCGAAGATCGGTACGCGCTTTCACCGATATTTTCTCGCGTTCGGTCGCACGCTGCACCGTCGAATGGAAATGGCAGGCCTTCGAAAGTTCGAACGGACAGAGAATTCTTTCGAAGCCCGGGATTATCCTCGTCGCAGGCGTCGACCGCGCGACTATTGTGGAGAAGCTGCTTCGGATCGACGCGAATTCGATGCGAATTCGATGGCGGACCTACCGCCACCTCGAGACCCACACGTTTCCCAAACGACCGCGATTACGCAAAAATATACGAGCAGCGGGGACGGAGAAAATCATATTTCTCAGCTCTCCGGAGGGACGGCCTTCCGTTGGACGCGGGATCGCCTGTACGTTATTCGAGCGCGTCTCCCGTTTACGAGCGTGAGCTACCGTTTTCAGCGAAGACGCGGATTACCGTTGAGAGGCGAGATACCAAAAGACTCTGAGCATTTCGCGACGCGTGTCCTCTAATTCTCGTTGTTCCGCGACGTTCGATCCGTGGCGCAGTTGCGGCGCTCGTCTCTCGAGCGAATCGAAGGAAAAAGCGGTTCGGCTCTTCGTTCGAGAAGAAAAGGTCGCGGAGACGGCCGATCAAAGTTTCCGAGACCGCGTCTCGGGATTTATGGAATGCGAGAGTAATCGAGAAGTCGAGCAGAAAAGTTCCAGAGCCGCGGGCGACTTGGAGCGAGTCGGAGTAATTCGAGTTTCACGGTAACCGCGGAGGTCGAAATTTCTGGGACTCGGTAGGTCGTTCCGGAAGAGCGTTTCAACGGTGTCGCGAAACTTTCGAACGCTGCGAACTGAAATCGAGGGCGCGACGCTCCGAGGAACTATGCGTTTACGTACGGTCGGCCGACGGAACTCGCCCGAGGAAATAATGATAGCCGAGTCTGGAACAGTCGAATAACGGTTACCCGTGCACGGCCCGTTTAGCGAACGACTCCGGCAAGAAGTCGCCGCCGCCGCGACCGTCGAGAGCTATCGATTTGAAATTCAAAGCGATCGAGGCGGGGCAAGTAGCAGCGCGCCGATCGCGCCGAGCAATTTCGAGTAATCGCTCTCGTGCCCCGGCCGATCGAACGCTCCCGTTTACCATGGAGATTCTTGTAGATTCTTGCAAATTCGTGCAAATTATTGCAAATTATTGCAAATTCTTGCAAATTATCGCATTGTAAAACAATTATCCTCCGGTGTTATCGTTCCACCATATATACGGGTTTTTACTTCGGTCGCCGCGCGATTGTTTCGCGATCGGGCCGGAATAATCGAGCGGGCGGATACGCGGAGCCGCGGGTAGACCTTCGATTAAGAAAGTTGAAGCATAATTTGGGTCACCAGTCTCTCGCAGGTTCTTTAATTTTCTTGCGAGCTCGGATGTGTCGCCTCGAGCCGTAATCGATGCGCGCTCTCCCCGACACCGCCGCTTGTTTCCGCGAACTTACGCTTTCGGGCCGCGATCCTCGACGCTTCTTGCCCCTGCGCTATCGTTGCGACCTGTCGAGCTTTTCGTCCGGACCGATTTCAAAAGGGTTTTTACCTTTCGGTTCTCGCGCGATACGCTCGTTTCTTCCCTGAAATCGACCCTTTTTCCACGAGCTATGGATAAGAAACTCCGCGAGGATCGCGGCCAGAGAAAGAATGGCTGTCGGAGAAGAGAAATCGGCGATCCGGCGATATCGGGCTAATCCTCGCGGCCGGCTGGAGCCTCGTTAAAGCTCTTCGGATTCGAATCGGAACGTCCGAGCGGATTAGTCCGTTCGACGAGCGGTGAACAACGCTGCGGACCGGCCGAAATTACGCGGCGCGAGAGCGGGGGCGAGAAAGGAACGAGCAGTCGGCTCGTAATCCCTCCGGAAAGAGGCCCGTTCCCCCGCGCGTTGCCAGATAGCCCGCCTTCCGGATCGGCAACGGAGAATTACCGGAACAACTTCCCCCGTATCGTCGCCTCGTAAGCTGTTCCGCTCGCGCTTCGGTGTTGCCTCGACCGAGGTTCAAATCCCGTTTCTCCGAATTAATTGAAATCGCACGGTCGTGAATTTCCGCCGGCGCGGCATCGGCGAACGCTCGAATAACTTCCGGCGGAACGGCGCTTCTTCCGCGGCAGGTTTTCCGAGAGTTTCGGAGCTCGCCGGCCGATTAACGCCGATGAAGCGGACGGCGGTCGCCGAGGAGGAACGAGGGGGAAATCCATTCGAGAACGGTTTCGCGTAAATAAAGCCGATCGGGCGCGATGCGAGGAAACCGAGCGATTTTCGGAAAAACCGGAAAGAGATAAATTACCAGAGACGAATATCGAGGGGCGGTCTCCTTTGTCCTCGTTCGTTTCGCGATCACGGGACCGCGCACGAAGCCCACCACCGCGAACCTCCTCTCGACGAATACGGAATTCGCCGGCCACGGGCCGAGGACTCGATACCCGGCCAAATCGAATCTCCCCTTTTCACCGTTACATTATTCAACCGTAAACAGCGTTCCCGACGTTCCTCCGCCGGGAATCTGTTAATAAATTCCTCGATAACCGCGTTACGCCGGCGGAGCTCGACGATTTTCCATCGGGATTCTAATTGCCGTCGTCACCGGCGCGACTGTATCGAGAAATAACTTTGGACGGCGATTCGTCGGCCCCGAAGGACCGCGCGGAATAACCGCCGGCGGGAGAAACGCGGAACGGTCGAGCCGTTATCCGCACGCGTCCGGCGACTTAATCTGTCCGGCAGCTGTCGCGCGCACAGTTTTTCGCGGAACGGCCGAAGGAGACGCGGAAGTTTTCTCATTCGAAAGGATTCGGCGGGCCGCGCGAAAACCGGCGGAGAAAGGTCCGCTTTAAAGGAAACAAACTGCGAACCGTTGAACAAAACGGTTAACGATTCTTTTATCGTTGCGCGTACATTACACAGAGTTTTTTCGGGTAAGCTGCTTTTCCTTTGTTCCGAAACGAGCCGCCGCGCGACGAGTCGATAAACGCGGCCTGGGATTTCGTTTAATCCGTTTCAAAATATTCTCCTTTTATTTCTGCCGTTTACCGTGGATTTAAATTGCAATTTCAATTTCGGTTCCAATCTGTCCAGGGAAAACGAACGAAACGCGACCGTTGGCGTCGATTACCGATCGACCGGGTGACTTTGCGTTTTTTAACTCGCCGCTAATTGCCGATTACGAGTTCCCCCTCTCGCGCCGAACCGTTTCCTCGCCGAGGAAAATGCGGGAAATATCGAAGGAGACGCGAACCGGCGATCGGGTTTCGGACGTTTGCCCGGGACAATAGCGAGAAAGGAGTTGCCGTGACGTGGGAAAGCACTTGGCGCGTCTCCGAGGTACCTAACGACCCCGTCCCGAAAGGGTCGCGCGTCGCGAGACACGGCTCGGCAAATATTGGCTCGCGCCGTAAACGCGCTCGGATATATTCGACGTTTCTTCCCTGAGTTATTAGTTCGACGAAGCAGCGGAGCGACAATGCTGGATCTCAATTGACCAGGAGTCGCTTCGAATCGAAACGCTGCTCGAGGATCGTCGAGAAGCGATCGCTCGGAGAAAAAACCTCTTCGGAAACGAGATTTCGGGCGGACTCCGACTTCGGAGGCGAACTACGAAATTCCAAGACGTTGTCTCGTTCGTTTGGCAAGTGTCTTCGCGTTTCTTAGTCTCGGTCTGCTTTTATCTCGAAGCTCGTCCGTTTTCTTTGTCGAACAGTTCCCCGGCTAACTCCCTTATTAATCCTTCCGCGGAACTTTGTCGATAGCTCAAGGTAAACCGTGCTGTTATTACTCCGCGGAGGTTAAGCGAACAACGGAGCGACGCAGCCGTGCCTCGCCTAGCGTTTCGCGATTAGCTGTTCGCTGGGAAGAAGCGAGCTTCTTGTTCGTCTTCGGGGCGTTGTCGTTGACGCAGTCGCGTGAATTCGTCGAACGAAAATCATTGGTCGCTTCGAAAATGCTCGTGATCCGAAAATGCGGATAATCATCGGAGAATCGGCGAGCATCGAGAGAGATTTCGGGATATTCGAGAACGAGCGGACCAAACCGAACGAGCAATTGTCCCGGAACGGATCGTTTGTCCCCGTCGGTCGGAAGGAAGCCAATGAAAATCGATTAGGAAGATTTAATTACAGAAGCGCGATTCCCCGTAAAATGTCTCGCTCGACATCGCTCGTAAATAAAGCGATCGGCCAGCGAACACGGAACGGGACCGGCGGAAAACGCTAATTATTCCTGGCAACGCGAATTACGCGTCCGAGCCACCGGGCAAATCCGGAGCGGCGAGAGTGCCTCTAATTGAATCGAATTAACCGCGCTCGACTCCAGAGAAATAATCGAAGGGCGCGACCCGAGGCGAGTAGGCTCGATCGCGGGCGTCTCGGCGCGTCCCCGAGATGTACAAGTCTGAAAAATGCACGAGTCATCTCCGGTAACTCGGCCAGAATTTTTCGAGCTGCGAGCAACTCTCGGGGGTCGGGAAATATTCAGGTTTTCATCCATTTCCGGATGTCGCGTTGAACGAGAGCTGGCTGCCGGAATAATTCAGCGCCGCGATGAGACGCGACGCGGAAAATCTCCGGCGAAGCTCGTCGAGACGCTCCGCACGCGTTTTCGAAAGCAACACCGACCTCGACCGAACGGTTTCTCGATAATTGTCGCACCCATTCGATTCAAGGCCGCGCCACTGTGCAATGCAAACGGATTATTACCGTCTTCCGATTAGAATTGCAAAATAGAGTAATAAAGGCGAGGATGCAACGCATCTCGGATTATCTCCCGGGGTGTTGGCCCGTTGTTTCGAGAGAAAGATGACCCAGCCTCGGTTCCCTGTTCCGCCCCGAGGATCGCCGGCGAGATAACGCTCCGCGGGGGGCTCACGGCGAAGAGTAATCGCGAGAATATTCCTATTAAAGCGTTGCCCTATCAACGTCTCCTGTCTCCCCCGACGCGGCGAGTGCTCGATCGTCGCTTAGAACTGATTAACAGCCGAGGGCTTCAGCTGCGCCGCTCTCGACAAACATTCTTTCCCCGAGCTTACAGCCGCAACACCGAGGAAACTCTAATGGCGGCGGCGCCAGTTACGGCCGAAAGTAGCGCGACGATTTTTATCGCGGCACTTTACGGAGAGACATCGCGCGGAGATAAAGGGCCCGTTCCGGAAGTTCGCGTAAGCTGGACACGGAATGCTAAGCAGACGGGGATCGTAAACCGCGCCGCTGCGATGCAACGCGATACCAACTTCGGCAAGCTCCGCGACGTACGAGTATTTTACCGATCTCTATCGCGCGGCCCGTATCTCGTAACCGTTGTTTCAAGCTTGTTTGCGTCGCGTTCGAGGCAACGCCCTGTAAGAAACCGTAGCGTCGAGAAACGATTAGTCTGTGCCGCAACTGACCGACGGGAGGAACGAGCCGCCGTTCGAGCGCACGCGACGTATCGCCGAGGCGAGTTAAGGGCAGCTGGTTCTGTTTACGAGGGTCGTGGATCGGATATTATTACACGGCTCGAATGCGCGAAGATAAGGCTCGGTAAACGACGCGTGGAAGATTCGAGCTCGCGCTCCTCGTAACTTCGCGCCGTAACTCGGCATTAATCTTCCTCGTCCACGCCCCAGCAGCTACGCGCTTTCATTCTCCCCGGAGCCTCGGCCTTCTTTCGCCCCTCGCGCGAGGCGAAGACGAACGACGCGCCTCGACGACGCGAGCATCGCGCCGCGTCCCCCGAGGATCGAGGCGAGCGATAACGACGCTTGCACCTCCGTCGCCGAGTTTCGCGTTCGATCGCTGCGGCGACGACTACAACGTCGACCGCAACGACGGCGCGTACGTTGCCGGAATAAACGAGCTCCCGCCGAGAGGACGACCACCTGCGAACTCTGGCCAAAGTAGATCGAAACGGTCCCCGTATTTTCGAGAATTCGGTTACCGGCGAAACTCGAGCGGCCGCAATGCGGTACACTCTTCGCAGCCGAGAGCGGCGCGGTCCTCGCTCTGTCGCCCGCGAGTACGCGTACGGAAACCGTCGGATTCCGTTGGAATTCAAACGTGGGAATAGATGCTCGTCTTCGCGCATCGGTGAATTCGCAGATTCGCGTCAGCTTTTTCGACGAGAAAGCTCCGACGGAGAATGGACTCGAGCATCCATTGTTCCCACGGACGAAAGCAGCGTTACAGGATCGGCGAACTTCGCGGGAAGGAGGATAAGTAGGAGTGCATCGGGGAACATTGTTAGGCGAGGAAAGCGCGCGAACGAAAAAACTTTGGCCCCGATGCCCGATATAAATCCGCGAAGCTGTCCGAGGCTGGCGGAAAACTTGCTTCGGGGAGCATGCATTATTTACGAGGAAACCCGGCGGAACTGGCGTTGTTTCATCGGTAATGTTTGCTCGAGTCCGCTCGAGTCCGCTCGAGTCCGCTCGAGTTTGAAAACTCCGCGCGCTCCCCTCTCGAAAGACGAACGATCCTTTAACGACTTCTCGGTCGATCTTTCCGGATACGGGCTACCATTCGGCAGTATTTGATCGTTTACCAGTTGCTCGGAGTTCACGAAAGAGAAGAAACTGCAACGCGGATATTCCTGGAGATGCAGGTTTTTCCAGGCTCGTTTCCAGACTCGTCCGCTCTGCCGAAAGTGTCCTTTCCCGGTCCTTTTAATCGAACGGTTCGTTAACGTTTGCTTCATTTTTAATTAGTCCTTCGCCGAATCTACGGTAATTAGGAACCCTCGCGTTCGAGCGCTCCGACTAAAAGCGCAAGTGAAATCAACGGAATGAAACGAAACGAAACGAAACGAAACGAATCTCCGAAGTTTTCGAAACGCCGACTTGCGCCGAAACTCGGCAAACTTGATCGAAAGTTTCCGCGCCGTGTTCCAGCCGCAAAGAAACTCCCAGGAAAAAGTTCCTCGACGGCTTGGAAAGCTAACCTGATAAAAACCACGATACTTTATCTTGGGAAAGCTATAATTCTTAGTGCCTGCTCGAGCGGGTTAGATACGGTTCGAATCGAATTGTAATTCTCTATCATTTTCACCGTTAATCAGCCGCTTTTCACGGAAAATCCTATCTCGCGAGAATGATTTTCGTGGGATTCGCGTCGTCTGGAAAGATTTCGCAGGCTAACCCAGCGTTATTTTTCTATTATCTGCTCTTAATTTCCAGTCAATTAGGGAGCGGACTGAGATAGCCGCGTCGGAATCCCCGCGTGACGCGTTTCAACGTCGACGGAGAAGACAGCGAGCAAGTCCGCGAAATCCCCCGCGCTCGGTTAGGCTCAGCGTCGACGAGCGCGAGCACACCTGCTCGGAAGCCGATAGGCGACGCGACGCATTCCGATCGAACGGACGCGATGCGTTGTTTAATCCGGGTAACTAACGAGATTACGGCTAAAGGAAAGTTTCGCGAGCAACGAGAACGTAATCGGAAAGAACAACCGTGCTCCGCCGTATCGCGTATTACGCGAACCACGATGAAACATTCGAACGAGCGTCTCGGAGAGGTTCTCCGTGAAACGTTCCGATAAAAAGTTCAACTTCCCGGAGATGGGAAGTCTCGCTGTTACGAGAGAAAGAGCTCGCGAAACGAGGGAAGACGAATTATTCGTTGATTCGTTCGTCCGATCCTCTCCGGCGAAGGTGGTTATCCGTAGCCTCTGATCAGTTACCGCGGGGAAGCTCGCGCGAAACTTTGGAATTGCTTCCGCGAGGATCCACAGGTTACGGCCGGCACGTCGGATAAGAGGTTCCCGCGAGCAGAACTTCGACGCGGCGCGACTTAATTAAACAGGGTTCGAACGATCGTGCTCGAACCGCGCCGCGTCTCGTCGGTCCGCGATCGTCGCAACTTCCCGCGACAATCTTCTTACGGTATTTAACGCCCAGCCGGTTATTATCAGATTCAACGATCGCCGCGTTTCGAGGGGAAAACCCGAACGCGGTTCGTCGCGGTCGAGGAATGGGGAAAACGTAAAGAGCTAAACGAACTACGGGTCACGCGCGACGGGTTTAAGAGTTTCTCGGTCGGAGGGAGGAATGCGAGCGGATTCCTGCAGCGAGACAGTTCGTTTGTTTGCTTCCGGTGGAGAAGAATTGCGAATTCGGCTCGCGGCTCGCCGGAGTGTTCGGGTCGAGTGGGTCGAGTGGCGCGAGTCCGCGGGGGAAACGGAACCTGTCGAAACTTACCTGAACGCCGCCCACTCCAACGATGAAGAGCAGTTGAACCATGAAGAGGGCTGCCAACAGATTCATAAGGGTCGTGCCCGCCAGGCTCCTCAAGTCCGAGAACAGGCTGAAACACGACGAGTTCTCTCCGTGACATTTGTCGTGGCCCGAAATCGGGTAACGGTGTCGCGGCGGAGCGCTAATTAGCGCGATTCGCATCTTCGAAGAGCCTTTTCGAAAAGTAAGCTTCGCGAAAGTTGCTTCTGTTCCGAACGAGAAATTCTCGGCTCGCGTTTCTTGGCGAGAACCGTTGCTACCGTAGCTCCGTAAACCGATTGATTCGATCGGCGTTTAAACGGGGAGCTCCAAGTAGCACGGTTTACGTTCGCGGCGATATTTTAAGCGAGATGTAACAATATTCCGGAATTAATCGCGTTACGGGCGATGGATCGGTGGCAACCCGTTACCGCAGGAAATTCGGGGCGAGAATGCGGCCGGTTTTAGGCGTGAAGCAACGCGCAACGCGCACGATAGTCGATGGATGGAAAAGTAGGGGAAAGGTTCGCACGAATGGCTCCGCGAGTAATTCGTCGGGAATGAATAATTCATAAATCACGCGGGATGGTCGAGCTTGGTCAAGGTGAAACTGTACCCGCAGCCCACCTTCCCCTTTGTTTGTTCGACCGAGCCGTTTCACGAAACGCGGCAGGCGCTTTCCTACCCGAAATAACAGGGGACGAGAGCTTCTCGTCCGACGTTTTCGTATTTTTCCGCGAACGAATCGTTAACGGTCGACGATCCGTTATCGATAGCTATTCCGCTCATTTGTAAAATAACATTGAAACTAGCGTCGAACAGTCGAACAGCCGAACGGAAACTTTCGAATCGGAATTTTCAGGGAATCCGTGGTATCGAGGAAGACGTTGATAGGATGCTCGCGGCTCGCGGCTCGCGGTGCGCGCTCTGTAACCGAATTACGCGGAATTCCTGGCGAGCCCGAGCAAAACAAGACACTCGAGAGAGCCGAGAAAACTCCCGGACAGAGAGACGAGCGACGTTTATGAATATTTGAAGGAGGGAGTTCTTCGTAGAGAATATTTGCCGAAAGTCGTTGCGTTTCTCCGTTGCAGGTCGGGTCCCGTAGCTTCGGCTACGCTAAACTATCGCTGACGCGGCTACTCGAGTCGGTTGTTTCGGTTGAACCGATTTCAATCGAGCTTCGCTTCGCTTCCCGGTATCGTTTTCGGCGGAATCGCACGAGTGACCGACTCGCGAGTCGCGACGATTTCGGTCGACGATTTCGGTGTCGGCGAGTAGTTACCGGTGCGAAGCTCGTGCTCCCCTTTGAAGTTTGATCGAATGAAAGGACTCATTTCCCATGTCGATGAAGCCGACGCGATGATCAAAAGGATAGGAAGGCCGCGTCGCGTCGCCCTCGCAGAGAAGAAGCATCGACAGGAAAGAGGGAGAGAGAGAGCGAGGCCGCGCGGTTCCTCGCTCGGATCGGACGATAAGCAGCGATCCGCGGCCTTTTATTAAAATTCCTCCTACGCGAAACCCATATCCGCGTGGAATTCGAATCGACGTCGAGCTTGTCGATATTCCCGACGACTACGAGTCGCGCGCGTCACCGGATTTCACAAACAGACCGCGCTCGAAATAACCTTTGCAAACGAAAAAGGATACGAGCTCGTTTCCCTCTGCCTTTACCTTCGTCTTTATCTTTACCTTTACCTTTCCGCTTCCCCTCCCTTCGAAATTTATCACTCGTCGAGCGCAGCCGGGCGCTTGATATTCGCGTGGAATTCCGAAGGGCGGAGAGCAGCTATGTTCGCGACGAATAAATTCCGTGCGAAAAGTTCGTTTCGCAACGGTAATATCGATAATGACGCGCGGAACGAATGCAACGCGCGTGAAAAAACGAGCGACAATTCGCAAAGACGGTTAGCGACGCGGACAGACGCGTCTTCGGAGAGCCAAATATGCACAAATATGAACCGTGAAAGCGGTGTCGCGAATCTCGTTGCGCTCGCGCGCTCCCTTGCAAATGGATCATTATTCGAGAATCGCGTCGCGTCGCCGAAATGCGGCAGACAAGCTTCTCTATTAGAGGGGGCTAAGAAAACTCAACTGTACCGAAAAATACCGAGCTTTCCGCGCGCGGTGCGTCGGGAAAGCGTCAACGCGTGGAAGATCGCGGGATAGCTGGCTTTTCCGATACGCGAACGAAAGTTGGGACATTCGCGCGGACGTTTCAAGCGATAACGTTTGATAAATTTCAATTCGCTCGGAGAGCAGCGAGAAACAGCGAAAGAGAGCCAGGGGAAGTGGATTGTTTATGGCCAGACGCACTTCGCTGGCCGTGTTTTCCGGGAGCGGGCTCGTTCGCGCGGGTACGTGCGCTAGTTTCTTCGGAAAAATGCTCCGCGTTTCGTTACGATTACCGGATTTCCAGCGGCCAAACGACCGGGAATTTCTCGCGATATTCCCGCGGAACGTTTTCCGAAATTTCACTCGGAATTTTCGCTTTAACGAACCGGTATTTACCGGAGGCGGAGCATCGCGCCGCAATGGGACCCCCACGGCGACCGTTTCCGAAACCGAGTCCCGCTGAAACGAATATTCGACAAAATGTTCGTTCTTTTAATCGCTACGGGAGAACCTTTCATCGTACATTTCCGGGGAAAACGCGGCCCTGCCTCGGCCGCCGGGAGACCGTCGTCGGGAAAAAATATTCGTATCCGGCGAAATCTCGCCGACTTCGGGAACCTTTAAGATCCTCCCTGCTCGAGGGTTCGACCTCCCGAGAAGTCCGTCGACGATTTCTCGTTGCGACTCGTGAATAATTCATCCGAGCGAACTTTGAACGGTGGACCTGATCCGAGAGAAGCGATCGCGATCGAGATCGCGGCGGGGGATTATCCCTTCGTTGCTCCGTTTCGAGAGAAATTTCGCGTTCCTCCGGGTCCGGTCGAACCTCGGAAGCAAATTGATTTCGAAGAGTCTCGCGTCTCTGTGCCGGCTCGTTCTCGCGATTGGTCGGAACGACGCGACCACTCTATTTGTATCGTCCGAGTAACTCGCATCTGCTCCCGAATACGATTCGAATCGTTACTTTCCATTACCGAACGAAACGAAACGAAACGAAACGAAACGAAACGAAACGAAACGAAACGGAGTCTCGAAGAATTCGCCGCGACGGAGAGTCCAGCGATTAACCGGTATTGGCGTTGATTTCGACGAGCGCGACGCCGAAGGAGTTCTCGAATCGCCGAAGCACCCTCGAAGCGAGTCGTTAGAGGGTGACGAGCGCCGGATGCTCTAGAATAATTTCGCCGTAAGAACACCGGACCGCGATTAAGCCCTCGGCTTCCCTTATAGAGGAAACTCGTGTAATTCGATCGATCGCTCGATCAACGTCTCGAATTCCGTCTTTTCGTTTCTCTTCTTTCGAGAGCCCTTTCCCTCGCGATCTCGAAGACCGATCGATCCGGCAGCAATTCCGAATCGAGACCGTCATTCGAGACCGCCCTCGCGACGCGGCGAGAACAATCGAGATGCTCGTCGACCTCGCTCCCAGGCAAAAAGCTCCGGCGCTCGGTGGTTTCGCTTTCGCATCCGGCTTTCAGCGCTTCTTTAACCCTACCGCTACTCGCTGAACCCGCGGTTTCGGTGTTTTCGTTGTTCAAAGTTATTACCGAAAGCGATTCCTCCTCTTCGATATCGTGTATCTTCTTAACTCTGTTTCTCGATAAATCGCGAACAAAAATCGCACCGGAGTTGGATAACGTATAAACACGCGAAAAGGTTGATCCGGAAAAACGTAGAAAACGAGAAAGTCTCTAGATCCAGCTTGGTTCCCGCAACTCCTTTCGGTTAATAACGTCGGTCGCGTCCGGACGATCGAAGACATTTTCATTAGCGTTTTCAAGGGAGAGATCCCGGGGATTTCCTGATTGCCTTCTGTCCATCGGCCACAATAGCCGGCGGCGGAAGGCCGAAGAAAATTACTCGGATCGATCGCACGCGATCCGGGAGGTCGCCGCGCCGCGCCGATCGGAGGGAAGTTGTTGCGGTCGGAGTCTCGGTCGGAGTCTCGGTCGGGTCTGATTCGGCCGGGTTCCCGTCGTGATATCGAAACTTTGTCGTTCGAAAGGCGCGCTGATTCGATTCCGGGTCAACTCGCCGGGACATCGTCGCCCCATTTATACCCGTGCAGCTCCAAAGTTTCCGGTTCGAGTGTGTCCCGTTGATTCGAAGGCGAACGATAAGCGACCGAGAACTCGCCGAGTCGCGCCGGAAGTTCGCGAGCCCGAATTATCGACGAACGCGTCGCTCTTCGGCGAGGATCGAACAGGTTCCCCCCTGCCCCCGAAGAATCGCGGCGCGGAAAACGAGAGATTGCTCGGAGCGGGCGTCGCGGTGGCTCGGAAACCACCAAATCCGTGCCGGGTCGAGCCCGAGTAAGTCGTTTTTCGATCAGATACGTTTCGGCGTGCTCCTCGCGTTCGTCCTATTTCGATTCGGTCCGTTATCGGTTAACGGAGAATTAAAAACGCGCCCCGAGCTTATTCCTCGCGTAATCCTCTGGATATTCGCGATACGAAAATTCGTTTCAACGAAGAGGGGAGACGCAGGCGGGACGGATAACAGAAATTAGAATCAACGAGATTTTCCTTGACGCGGAAACGAGAGCACGGGGTTGAAGGTGCTTCAACGACGACGAGGAGGTTGCGAACGGTAGACGCAGCCGAACGCCCGTTTTCTGGACGACCCTCGAGAACTTGAAAAGTAGAAGCGACGCAAAGAAACGCTTCGGAGAAAACTCGTCAAGTACACGAGCATAGGTTATATTCGTTTTGCATTCTAAACGGACTGCGAAGTTTCGCAACGACAACATTGAAATTTTAACGCTGCCCGGCAAAAAACTGATAACCTTCGATTCTCGTTAGGCGAATGGTCGAGTTTTTTGGTCGCCTCCACAGGCGAGGTCGTGCGAGTATCGCGCGTTTTAATCTAAATCGCGCCCCGGGGACGCGTCGCGACGGTGGACCCAAGGTTTCGCAAACTTTCCAGCCTGAAAACTTGCCAGCTGACCCTCCTTTCTTTCCCGACGTTATCTCTCGT